AGAGTATACTTGTCTGATGGAGGCTTATAAAAATAGCATTTTTTAAGTAATCTGTAACGTTTGGAAATTTCTATAAAGATTTCATTGCTTCCACATAAAAGAGAGCAGCTGTGAAATGTTCCCAAGATTCCACCAAAAGCAGGTTTAGGCTGCGAAAATCGCGACAGCATTTGATGTTAGAATTGCTTGAGAATATTTTCGCAAAATTATAATATATATAGAAACTTTAGTATTGCATGACGTTTTATATCCGGCAGTTTCCCCAATATTGCGGAGCGTTATTCCCATCGTATGTAAATCTTGTCAGTGATTGCATGAGACTATGTACGTAATTTAAATTGAACTTCACTAGTTCAAATTCACATACACAACAAACCTTTTTCCAAGTTTTTCTGAAACAACTAAGTTGAGATATTTTATCCTTTTCATTACCAATTGAGATTACTAAGGTTAAATTGAGGAAATATCAAATTCAAACTGGAACTCATTGATATATGTGCAGATTGCTAAATAGATGTTATATTCTCAAATAAAATAGAAACAAGGCTCTTTTGCATATTATTGTACGTCAAAAATATGTTCATGGGATTCCTTGTAAACCCAAGCCCATAGTAAAGTCCCCTCAGCAGAGATCACCTCAAGACAGCGTCAGGTGTACTCACTCCAAGGCAGGCAAGGTTCTGGGAAACAATTGATTGGAAAGATCCATAGCATGCGTAATCCATATTGAATAGACTTTCACAAGGTTGTCATGTCATGGTTGATAGTTCAGTGGTTAGAATGCGGTCATTAAGCAATTGATCATGGTTCGAATTTGTTCAACGCAAGATTATTTTGCCAATGAATAGTTACATGAACGATTATGGTGCACTGTAAAGTTGGAGCAGAACGGATTCGAACCTCATTGATTAGGAGGGAATTTCGGGGAAACCACCAGCAAAAGTGTGCACTTTCGGGTCGGTGATGCTCCACATGTGACGCAAAAGGTCTTGTCAGGGGAACTCGTAAGTTGATTCCGAGCAGCTTGCGAATTCCCTAACGGACTCTATTAAAATACACACTATTTCTCTCGACCCGTCAAACCCTCCTCTTAAGGGCTCAATTAGTCTCAGCACAGAACCTCGCATGACCGTGATCCCTCCGCGGATTTTGTATGGCGGAGGGATCGGCACGATTTGAACTCGGTGCACTCGACTAGCCGTCAAGATCATCTCACCTAACGGGAACTTGACCTAGGGCTCTAACTCATTGTTTCCAAGAAGATGAGTACGAAAGTACTAAATAAAGTTTATGACGAGATGTTAGCGTGATTTTCTCAGACATTCCAACGGAACTTCCTCCGTGGAAAGCAAAACATCGGAACTTTTGGAATATCGCGAAATAGCGCTGAAAGTTGAGAGAGTCTTGATTTTCGAAACTTTCGGAAAAAATGACGTCACAAAAATGGCCAACCGGA